TCACTTAACACTTGATAGACAATGAGCTCATTATCTACTTGTCATTCAAGTAAGGTTCACGCCATCCTGAAAAGGTTATATAACTTAATATATGTAGTAATGTTTTTGGAACATTAATGGCATGTGACGCCAAAACAAGTCACGGACAATGGGAGAAGAGAACAGTCTAATTCTTCGGTCAATATTATATATTTTCTACTATAATTAACTGCGAAGTTCAATCTCAGATTGCGATTTTTATTGTTTTTGATAGTAATTAAGCAAATTACAATGTATAATAATAGGGGAATACCTGATTCTTAACACGTGGAAGATATTTGAGTAATTATCGACAGATAAATTTTAACGATGTACGGGTTCGCACGATTAAAAAAGAAACAGATTTGTTTTTCTGCAAAAATAATGCATCATACGTTTTTTCTGACATCAGTATGAAACATTAATGTATTTTTTATTTCTGAAGAGTTTCTTTGAATAGGTTTTTCCAGACATTTTGCGTAATTAATTAACAAGATTTTACGATTAGTTCACGGATTTCTAAATACTATAAATTAATTTTACGTATGAACTCATTGTATAATGTTAATAATAAATAAATTGGCTTTGTTTCCGGAATCAAAAATAGTAATTAAATAATTTAGTGGCTTTGTAGATTTGTATTAGTCTCTGATGTCTGAGACAATTGTGCAGTGTATGATAGGGATTATTTAAATTCATATTATAGTAAATATGGTAGTTTAGACAATTGTTGTTTTTTGTATTGTAGGTTATCAATTATGTGTAATTTTCAGATGCCTGATGAAGGTCTAATAAAAGACCGAAACGTTGCTAAAATAATAATGTAATTTGTTATAATAGTCCTATCTTGTCCACATTCCTGAGATACACAAAAAATATTTTATAATAATTATGGACGACAATATTGATAATAGTTAATAATAAATTAGATTTAATTATTCTGAGTTCTAAAGCCGAGTGCAAATGCACTCCCTTGGAGATATTGTTACAATATACCTACATGACAAAGGAAATTTACGGGTCATAAGGTCTAAGGAATGTTTCTCATGCTACAATCATTATTGCGTTCAAGATTTTGCGCGTTAACTTAGATATCAGCGATTTTTTTTTATCTAGCAAATCAAATGTGCTCGCGGTCTAACTGGTATCAAGCAGTTATCGAAACACATATAAAACGCGATTCGCTCCTTATGACGTAAAAAGTCTTTGCAGTGTAATATCCCCATAGTATTGCGGAGATTTCGCATCGAATAAGACTTTTTTTTATTGCCTTTGTATGCAGACGAGCGTACGGCCCACCCGATGGCAAGTGGTTACCGTTGCCCATGGACTTCAGCAATGCTAGGAGCAGAGTCAAGCCGCTGCCTACCGCTTAATACTCTCCACAAGCCTCGATTGAAGAAGAATATGTCATAGCGCTCGGGAAACACCGTGGAAGGGAGCTCATTCCATAGCCGGATGGTACGTGGCAAAAAAGACCTCTGGATACGCACTGTGGTTGATCGCTGTGGCTCCAGGTAGTATGGATGAACTCTACTCCGGTGGCGGGCGGTGCGATGGTAAAAACGAGACGTTGGTATAATCTCGAACAATTCCTCAGAGCACTCCCCATGGAACATGCGGTACAAAATACAGAGGGAACCGAAGTCCCTCCGCAGACCCAGAGGCCCCAAACGATCCGTGACATGAATAAAAGCACATAAATTAATTCAGCTATGTGGGGCTGGTGTCATCAAAACGGCACACGTAATCTTCATTTTGTGAACGTTATCAACGAACAATGACGGACAACTACAAACTTAACAGCCCACTGAGTTTCTTGCCGGATCTTCTCAGTGGGTCGCGTTTCCGATCCGGTGGTAGATTCTGCGAAGCACTGCCCTTGCTAGGGCTAGTATTGGCAACGACCTCAGGTTAGAACCCCGTGAGCTCACCTACTTGTTCGGTGAATCTAGTATAACCCCTCGAGATCACTAGTAGTCATATCAAAGCACATGTGGCCTTGCAAAACCGCTACATTGACACTTGGAGGCCATACCCATTAAATATAATCTAATATCACATCAATTATCGGTACATATACATTTTAAAGTAAGTGTACCTCCGTATCATATCTACAGCTGTCTTACCTGTCAAAGCGATACGCATTATTATAATAAACTATAGAGGAAGCAAAGCGTACCTAACTCGTGTGGGTGAAACTCAAGATTTGTGGTGACCACGCTGTCTACCGACTATGCTGTGTCGGATTTCCGTGATCTGAACCAAACTAATCGATCGCGGATCGGTTCGGATATGTTGTGTATATCAATGCGAGTATCTTTAGGTTAGACTATTTCTATAAACACGTCTCCGAAATTCGTCAAAAATCAGTGGCCCCTCAAGACATTCGGTGTTACAATGACGTTTCGGCTATAGGAAAAAAAAGACGGCTCTTTCCAAAATCATTTTATTGATAACACTAACGTTCGTCAATGGCTACCAACAATAATACAATATACAGACTACAACAAAACAAAATGAGACACAAGAAAATTGATAGAGTTGTCAAAGGCAATATTACAAACTATAAATTGTTAAGGATAACGCAAAAACTAGTGGTCATCAGATCTGGATAAAATTTAAATCTATAAAACTTCAAAAGTGATTTTTCTAATTAGTTCCGACCTTCTATTAGTATCTACATATGTGTCCAACTATAAAACTTAACAAGTCATTATCGCCCGCGTTTCTAACCTCTGTTACCTGCAAGTCACGCGTCGCCAATGTCCTTAAGAGTCCTTTGACAAATGGGTCTAGGCGCTTTCGAGGAAAAACACTATTATTTGCATAGCCATAAAATTTTTATGGTTACGACGATAAAGTAATTGTAGATGTTTGGAGGTTTTCATTGACTGTTGCTTCGGTTCGTTTGTATTCGACTCTTAATGTTTTTGTTGCCATACGGGCCTTTGATACAAGAGGCCGTAAGTGCAAGATTGGGCACGTTCTGTTGTGTTTTCAGTTGTTGTGAAAGCTAGTTAAAGTGAAGCGAGCTTATGACCTACCTGGTGTTAAGACTTCAAGGTGATCGAAGGAAATCATGGCGTCTATGAACTTCACCACTTTAGACCAGGTGGGTCGTGAGCTCTTTGACCACTTGTACAACAAACACTGGTTTTACAAACTGGTAATTTTCAACGCGAAGCAGTCGCATGACTCCGATCGGATAATGTTCTTGTACCATTGGAGACTATGAGCAATGTCGCTAAGGTGGTCACGTTATGGAGTGCACGAGCTAAATTAACGACTTATACCACGTGTGTACTACAGCCTGATATGAAAAGATTACTTAATGTTTGTATAGTCGGAATTTCTGTAAACGAGCTGCAACAAACATATTTGTCAATAAACTTGCGCAAGGAAATTTAAAAAAAAGACGATAAAGGGAATAAAAATAGCAGTAACATGGCTCCATTGCGACATTTCCGCGTTACTTGCTAATGACCATGTCTGCTTTATTATTATACGACTGATTTACTTACTAACGCGTGGAAGAGTTCGCGAGAGATTATTGCATTACCTCGTTTTACCATCAACCTGGAACTGGAGTAAACACCCGCAATGCCAGGGTCCCACCCAAGCCCAAGCAATTATACACCTTTTGAGAATTAGATTAAGATTACATTCAGTCTGAGTCTGCATGTCTCTAGGTTGGTGGCGCTTTCACATTGTGATGTTTCTAGACACTTATCTATGCGGTAGGCAGCGGCTTAGCTCTGCCCCTGGCATTGCTGAAGTCCATGGGCGACGGTAACCACTCAGCATCAGGTGGGCCGTATGCCCGAATGCCTACAAAGGCAATAAAAAAAAAACCCAAAAACCTCTTCGCTTGTCCAGTACAATAAAAATGAATATCCCTAAAACACTGTGTAGAAATGTACCAAGACAACTTTGAAATATTGCACTAAACACACATTGTATATGAAGTTACGCGGTAGACCGTATTAAGGTCATGTAACTACGTATGTACGTGCGCCCGAGGCAAGATCATTGCCAAGTTCAAGACTAGAGAATGATGCTTTGAAAAAATATCGTTCGAAAACAAAGATCGTTGGGGAGATATCGTTAAAGTTTTTAACGAAAATTGCACATCCATTAAATTTTTTGAAAGTAAATTTCATGCCCCCACTTGAACGAAAACAAAACCAAAAAACTTGGATACGGTTCTGCAAAAAGGACTCAAGCCACACAACTTCAAGCGTAATCTATTGAAACTTCAAGTATAGCTTCTAATGAAGTTACTACGCTTCAATCAATGTCGTTTTATTTCCATCAGTTTCGGGTCATTGCCAGGGACGTCTTAAACTAGGCTGGGGCCCTTGGGCACACAAGAATTTGAGGCCTTTTTGGAAAGTAAAAAAAGCGAATTATAATAATATTTTTTAGTGAGTATGACCATTTATTATAGGTAATCAAATACAGTATGATATAATATGTCATTAATGATATTAGAATGCTGCTGGTTTTTTGGTTACGATTTCGATAACGCTTTCTTTCGGGATTTCTGTTGAGCAAAATCTTCTATTATAGGCATACTATATGCCTTGTAAATAAGTACCTTCTGATTACTGATTTGTGAAAAAAGTGTAATATGCCCGAAAAACTGTTTTGAGAATAAACGCGTGAGAGAAATTGTCGGTCTTTCGGGGCCCCCTGAGAATGGGGGCCCTGGGCACGGGCCCCGTGTGCCCTTATGGTAAAGACGGTATTGGTCATTGCTGTAAAGCTTACTTCGCTTCATATAGCTACATAATTGTGACGTTTTGTGTACTAAGTCCTTTATGCGACACTCCTATAAAATCACATAGGGTTTTACAACTAAAAACGGTATCACCATGAATCGGGCAAGGTTTGTTTTGCTCTCGAAGCCAAAATTATAACTTGGTAACAGTGAAATTAACTGATATGTGAGGAAAATTTACATAATCCCGTTGTTACAGCATCATCTCTCGGTGCGGCAATCACGATGCCCATATGCGGCTTCCTCATTGCTCATTTCGGATGGGAATCGGCATTCTATTTCACCGGTGAGTTCATATTTAGAATAAGGAACATCATCATATTAAAGTTATTTGTATTAAAATGTTAACGGTAAATATTCAAGAAGCTTGGTCCTATTTCATTACAATAGACACGTCTATTTAGTGCATGGCTTCCAAACACAGGACGATGGGTTCCACGGAAAATTTTGATCATATTAAAACGTTAAATCTTATCGCAAGTACTGTTCGATGCCTGCTTGAAATATACTTAGTCTGAAACAGGACACAGGGGTGAGAACATTGAAAAGCTTAGGATCCGCTGACCAAGAATTGTCTTGAACGAAGAGGGCTTATAGTAGGATTACGATTATACAAGAATTGAGTACAAACCTACAAAAATAAACTTTACTATAAAATGCTTAATAATTACAGGTATAATCGGCGTGTTGTGGTCTGTAGCTTGGTTCGCTGTTGTATACGACTCTCCCGCCCAACACCCTCGCATTACTGAATCTGAACGCAATTATTTAATGAAGGCTCTACCTCAGGACAATAATAAGAAAGGGGTAAGCATACGAAGAATGTTATTTATTTCTATATGGTATCCAAAAAAAAATTCTGTAGCGAATAACTTGAAGCCTGTTGAAATTTCATCACTAGAATTAGTTAGCTACTCATCACTAAACAAACTCGCAACTTCTCCTGGTGCTTACAAAGAGTGCCATATGTAAATCCTATGGTCATCAATACGCCATTATTTTTAAAATCGTTGAGCAATATGCACCCCTCTTCCACATCGTTACGTTTATTCCCAGTACTGGAGGAGGGAGGAGAAAGAGACCAACGTAACCTCACGTCTCAAGGTGGATAGTGGATTGCATAGTATAGCGGCTGCCCACCCTTCAAAGCAGAACGGTCGACTGCTTTGCCTGTAGCCAAATAGATACCGTGGTGGTACCTACCTGTGCGGTCTTACAATACTTCCTACCACCAGTAAATGGGAACTGCCATTCTCTGGAGAATCCTTGATTTGCCTTTTACGACATCAACGGAAAAAGATTCGGTAGTTATTCTAGGCCGATACCCAACAGCCGGCTATAAGTCTTTTTGTCTACGGATATTTCATCGCCGAGAATGTTGCCATTTAAAAAAAAAAACCCTAATTGTGCAATTGTGTGATTGTACAGAACCCCATAACAAAATAGTAATAGATTTTAAATTACATAGTCATTACGCAAATCAATGATTATTACATTCTATACTAATATGAATGAAAAAGAAAGATCTAAATGAACTTATATTTGTAAAAGTACAATTGATGTGATTACGTCGCAGATTATAAAACAATGCGTCATTTAATTGTGGACAATGAAAATCGTATAATATTAATTGTGTTTATTTTGTCAGCATTGTCTTAAAGTTTCTTATGAAATTCAATAAAAAGATTTTTTTTAAATACTGGCATCACGAGGTTTTAATTTGGTTTTTATTGCGCCAGTCTTTATTCAGAGGATAGGGGCGGAATCTTCCCTAAATCGAAGTCAATGAATAACAAAGTTTTTTGGGTTTCTTTTTTAGTTTTTTTTTTCCTTTGGGTGAAGTCACAGTCTTTTAAAATATTGATAAATTTGGCGCGTCTTAAAGCGAAGAACCTATTTTAATTATCGTCCACAACAAAGCGCCCGACCATCCAGCCTTGACTGCCGGTAAAAATCAATTAAATCATCGCTACATACAATTATATTCGAACAGTAACGACCTTGGGGATGCGAACGAGCGTCTGCATACGAATTTCTAATTCGCCTTGATTGATTAACGCGTACCCTTGAAAACGTCCGAATAATTATCCAATTTGACCAATGTCACGGGCGAATCGAGGTCGCCTTCTAGAAGCGTGTAATGAAGAAAAATCTAATCCGGAATTTGTGCTATAGATGGTTGACGGGGTCTTGTGTGTGGGATCCACTCATACGCTGCTAAGCCTATTTATATTGAAGGAAATTGCGTTGAAATATTTCGCTACGTGTACTAAATCAATGATCAAAAATTCCGAAAAGAACTCCGAAAAAGACAACGAAAAAAGAGCCAAACTTTGCGGCTCACATTACGAATATTTGCCCACTGAGTTTCTTGCCAGATCTTCTCAGTGGGTCGCGTTTCCGATCCGGTGGTAGATTCTGCGAAGCACTGCTCTTGCTAGGGCCAGTGTTAGCAACACTCCCGGTTTGAGCTCCGTGAGCTCACCTACTAGCTCGGTGAATCTAGAATAACCCCTTGAGGTTACTATAATAAATAGGAAAAAAAATGCGAATATCACAATCATTTTGTATCTCTCATATCGTATTATCTTTAATCTATCTTCTTATCCATCTATACTGACAAGAATAAGGAAATAGAATGTATGTTTTATATTATCTTGTAGCCCATGCCGGTACCTTGGAAGAGTCTACTCTCGTCTTCTCCAGTTTGGGCCATAATCATCACTCACGGGGCTTCGGTCTTCGGATACTTTACCGTCGTCAACCAGCTGCCGACCTACGTCGAGAGCATTCTGCACTTCAACATCAAACACGTAAGTGCTATTTTCGCATAAAATCTATCCAAGGGACTTGTGTGTAACAAAAATACCTCTTGACTTATTTCAATTGTTTGTTTTCGAAACAGAAGAATAGTAATTTTAATACAAACTTCAATGATATCAGATAATAAATAAATAAATAAATATTTACTAACAATCACGCCACGTTAACTGGTCCCGTGATAAGTTCGTAAAGAACTTGTGTTACAGGTTCCAGATAACGGATATAAATGTAAGATTTTTATTATACACATACATATATTTAATATACATCCATAACCCTGGAAAAGACATTTATATTTATAACAAATATCTTCCCTTGGCGGGATTCGAACCCGCGACCCCCTTGTGTAGTGACCATGTCACTTACCACTACACCAGACGGCCGTTTCCATACTACCATCCATCAGAGTATGCATACTTCCATTTAAATGTAAAAGTGTGTTTGTTTGTCCTTCGTTCACGTCGAAAGTATATTTAGGTCAAGGGATTGTTCTAGGCTGCCTAGCCTTTATCCCGAAATAACCTCAAATTCTCACGGGAAACTACACTGACATTTTTGTTTGTCGATGCGGGTGAAGCCGCAGTTAGCAGCTAGTTAATTATAAACTGTGAAATCTATAATCTAAGTGTAGTTTTCCGGTATCGGCGCGCCTGTCGTATCGGCGCCTTCCGTTCTAGGAAAATACCTCACGAAGCATTATTGACTATCGTAATTACTAGAGCCACGCCATAAAGGTGCTTAATAGTTTTGTAATAAGATGCGTTTAATGTTGTGTTCAGCTGCGTCAAAGACCTTTTCGATTCGGAAGCGTTGATGGTTATAGGACACACGACTTAGGTATAAGGTGTAAGGAGCTACCGACTACCCTAAATTAAACAATTTTAATGGTCATCGAATTTGAAACATTGAAATCGTGCCTTAAATAAAGAACTTAAGGGTAAAACTTTAAAGCTACCTCTGAACATTGAGTTTTATTGAGATATATTCTCCTATTCAAATATTTACTCTTTGTTGTTAACTTACTCTTTTACCTAGATTTTATATGCTTCAAATATCTTTTTCACCTCAGCAGCTCAAACATGCCGCTTTTGCTGCGAGACAAAAGTGAACAAAACGCGATTTTGATTCGAGCTTGGGTCAATGTAGCTTTTTAATTTTTCAATCTTCAGTGCCACGAATTGACATTGTTCAGCCATAAATTTGAAACATTCGAATTTTACTATGCTCTGTCTCTTTCAAATGCATATAAAAAAGCGAGTGAAAAAAACAAACCCCTTCGAAATTCGATTTTGGAATTCGACCTCAAAGAAAGCACGTTCGGAAACGCGTAATACCCTAAAAATTTAAAGATATTTGTAATAAAGAAATTACGTTTTTTTTAAATTAGTTATTTCAATCTATTCCTATTAATTTCTATGTCCCTAAGTAATATGTGTTCTCACTGCTGAGGTGAAAAGTTATGTGTGCTACACGAGAGCAAAGTTTTTTGCATCTCGTGCTGTTGATTCCCTCACTACGCTCAGGATCCAAAATCAGCACACAAAACAAAAAACAACTTTGTTCTCTTGTTGCACAAATAACTAACTAAAACAAGGCGTGTTTATTGGATATTTAACTCAGAATTTTTTTATTCTACCACAATGACTACTCCTGTTTTTCTTTGTGATAAAAGTATAGTGTAAGGATTCATAAACTACATTTACTTTCCATTCATTCGTCTACATATTATTATGAATTACAAGGTCAATCTTAATAAAATGCTTTTGACATACAGACCGACTTAACTGTCCACTTAAATAAATTAAGTCACTACTACTATATTCGTAGTAACTACACACGAGAACTATGAATAATAATAATAATAACAGCCGGAAGTTGTAGATATCAATCGATAAACGTAATATCAACTTGGGTCGTTGTTCGATAAAAGACACGGGTGTTAATACTGGTTTTGTAATTTCCCTTCATTCAATGGCACCGTTGAAAAATCACATCTAAGTGGTGATCATTAAGATTCAAATTTCAATGATAAACCGTTGTAGCGACGCGCGCATTGTAAGGCAACCATATTGGCGAGCGAAAGGTGGACAAGTCCCGCTAATATGATTGTGCTTTTATAAGCGGTTACGAAAACTGACCTTTATGGAAATCATTGAAATGTCAACCATATTCGATGTTTTTATTCAAGTTTTCTGTTTGCAAGTAAGATTTATGCAATCGTGTTTTTTTTTAAGATTTGCGTTTTGAAACGACAAACGCATTTCATAGAGAAGTTTTTATTAAATGTTATTAAGTCGGTTACAAAATATATATGTATTTGTCTAAATAGGTAAACCGTTTACTTTCTTTTATAGATGCAATATTATTGTTGTGAATTCTCTATCAAATATTTCAATTGAAATAATGTGTATTGTGTCTAAAATTTATTATTCCACTTACTAATCTATTATGTATTTATTATATAGTGTTACGAAAACGTTTATCGTATTGTCAATCCATAATATCGTTAATGAGTAAGTCGTCGGTTTTACATGATTCATTATTTTGTACATATTGAAATACCGCTAGTTTTTTTTTCTATTTTAAATTATAAAGGCATTAAAGCGTTTGCTCCCGTAACGAAAACGGTAATAAAAAATAAGGCTAATGTGAATGGAATTTTCCTGTTTTTGTTTTGTGTCTGGTATCACCAATGCTTCATTTGCGAACATTCTTTCAAATGATCGTTTATCGGTCGAGAGACTTACAAATTAATAGATCACGAGAAACTGCGTGGTACATACATAAGTCTCGTTGTTAGTTAAAAAACAGGAAGTGCTCGAATAGAAACAAGGGTTAGCTTGTCGCAAAGTGCTACTAAATTATATATTATTATTGGATTCAAGGACACACAATTACTTTAATTGATAATTTAAATAATAATAATGATTAAATTCTTCTGGTAGTAATATTTAGTACTATCGCAAGAATTTGTAGTAAAAGTAGTGTCAAGTTCGAGTTCTGAAGTGTGACAAATATTTCACGTCCCTCATGTTACAATTATTGTTTGTCAAATACTCGTATCGATCTCTAGTTCGTGCGACTTAATTGATTGACAAGAAAACCTATATTATTTGTACTTATTCGTTGTTACCTGTATAGGAAATAGTCTATACAATAATATCTCTGTTTACAAACATTCCGCGATCACGAGAGCAAACCGCGACGGATAGTTTTTCACATGAATAAATTAAATAATCTGAGCCAGTCATATTCGGTTCTAACCGGCCTTGTAAATTAATTAATGTCTCATTTCGTATATTATTAAGCACAGTGACCACCTTAATGTCTGAATAAAACACCATTTTAATATTTTGTACAGAAAATGTATACCTTATTAATTATCCATCGGCTTCTAAACAGCTTTTATTTGTTCAAAAGTGGTCTCTTAATTAATTCAACTTTGTCTACTTTTGTATCGGGTGCGATTCAATAATTAAATTAATTAATTATTAATAATTGAATTTTCACTAGCGTTTTATATTATGTTATATGAGTATTAGGGCGGCAGCATTTTCCTGTTGATATCAATGGGGTTCGGTGTTAGCTATGTGCTAAGTGTTTCATAATAGTTTAAAAAATGTACATAGAAATTCATAGTTTGAGTTAACATGGGCTACTGTCATCATCGTGTATATTTCTGCAATAATTTAGTACTACGCCACACCTCTCTTGGTCCATATCTCTTTGTTAGCAGTTTGAAATTAGTACATTATTTCTCAGTGTAGGAGTCGACGTTCACGCGATGACTATGGTCTTCTAATATCACTGAATTACTTATAAGTCCTTTAAGCTTCTAAATAATGCCAACTACGAATATGGGATGTTACCATTAATTGTTCTCTTGATTTTCTTACACGTTATTTATAAACTATATAGGATTAAAACGCAATGAAACGAAACGAAAACGTAACATTAGGATTATAAAGTAGTCCCCCATATTTAAGAAAAATAAAATATTTCTTTTTGTTTACAGGGCATATTAAAATCTAACTAGTTACGAATCCACATATTTTTTTATATACATTTACTCGAAGTCTTTCTCAAAACATCGTAAAGATTGTAAATTATGTTAAGTCATTTATGAATTCCTTTAAAAGAACAGATATTTATTTCTTTCAAATGATAACAGTCTCTCTTTCTAAGCAGATTCGGCTTCATCTTGCTTGGATATTATGTAGCTATACAGGATAAAATAAGCTCACGCAAGCTCTGCACTGTATTGCATCAGCTTAAAGTAGGCAACCAGATTGATTTTATTGGTTTTTAGCATACTGGTTACTACGTCTCAACTAAATACATAAATTTTATAATAACTTAGGCAGATTTATCATTTAAAATAATAAGGAAATTATAAATCTATACTTTGGTGTTTTAAGTCAAGTTTAACCTTTCCCGTAACTAAAGTAAATAAAAAATGACATTTAATCATAAGACTATTTATGTATAGCGTTGTTCTATTTTCAAAAAGGGAAAACAGTATATACTAAAATGAAAAAAATGGTAATATGATTTCTCAACAACTTTTTGAGGTTAATATTCTTGTTGTACCCGTAAATATTGAAGTATTTTTAAACGGTAATTAAATTTGTGTCACCCAAAAAGGAAATTGATTAAAACTTGCAAAACGTGATTATAAAATGGAACTGCAAATAAAAATGGAAGTGCCGTAGAAAATATAAAACAAAAATTTGAGGTTTTTTTTTGCCTTTATAGGCAGACTAGCATATGGCCCACCTGATTGTGAGTGGTTACCGTCGCCCATGGACTTCAGCAATGCCAGGGGCAGAGCCAAGCCGTTGCCTACCGAGGTTTAATGTATTTTGTACATTGTAGATTCTAATTTGTAAATTTCCAGACATAAATCTTGTATTTCGCTATTCACATTTCATTATAACGTTGACCCTATAATAAGACCTAATTAAACATTTTGAATTTCCCTACGGACTGG